CTACCAAACCGCTCTTGCCAGAAGCAGCTTGTCTCTGGACGGCAGCAATAGTACCTGACCACACCCTGCTGTCTGCTTTAGGCCAGCCCTGGACTTGGCTTTGCAATAGCCAGTGATGCTTCATGATGGGGAGGCAAAGGACAGCGCAAATAAGGGCAGAAACGGCCGTGTGCTTGCCAGAGGGATAGACTGGGGTCAAGCTGTGAGACAGCCCCAGGCAAACTGCAGCCAACCCGCATCTGGAGGACAGCCATTTGTCTGGCATCCAGAAAAGCACTGCAGAACTCGTGTAATGACAACTTGCCCTTTAGAACTAGCACAGATCCTTCCGGAGCTGCACACAGTTCAACACCGCAAAGCAGCCAAGCCTGAACTCACTCGGATGTCCCGAGGCCTGGAGAGCTGTGAGCACACGTGCAGCTCTGCTGTTGGAGGTGCGCACATCACAACTTCAACCCGTCGCTGGAGTTCATGCAAGGCGTGTAAGCACAGTTCTGCTCATTTTCTCCGTACTGGCGAGCAGCTTAGCTGGAGGTTTACGTGCTGGACTGCTGCTGCTTTTGCCATTTTTGCTTCAGGCGACAGCAGAGCAATCTGCATGTGGGAAATAAACTGGAAAAGAATAGCCAGAATTTTAGGCTCTCTCTTCCCTCCTGGCAACTCCACTAGTGCAAATATTTCATGACCACTTAGGACGACAGTGTAACCATCTGTGAGTTTGGCGTTTGGTGTGGGTTCTTACACTATTTTTTTCCCCAGAAGCAAAGCCTAAAACAAACTGGAACATAAAGCTCTGCTGCATCCAAACTCTCATCATCTTTGCCCGTCAGATCTCCTCACCAGGGAGGAGGCAGGGGGTGCTTGGCTTTAACTTTTTTTTCTAATTAGTTACCCAAAATTACGTATTAGTTCTCCAAAGTCTCTCAAGAGAAACCATCCCACGTTCTCCAACAGCCCTCAGGCTAGGGCCAGTGTGGAAACACACGAGTGCAGAGAACTTGTCTTCCCGAAGCACTGTCTGCGTCTATATGGACTGTTATATTGCGAGGATGAGG